ATTGAACAATGCAAAAAGGTGACATTATTTAGAAGTACATATGCTTGTGAGCAACTTTCTTTTTTTTTTTTGAAAATGAAATACACTAAAAGTCGTTTCAGAAGAAGGTTGTTAGGTGATGACCACCTGGACGATGTTTTGCTCCCTGTCATCGACAGATATTTTATCTGTGACGTGGAGAAATTATCGAATGAGCAGAAACAAGTGTCCCGTTAAACGATTTTCCATTTCTAGCTGTATTTCGTTTGTCGTAAGGAATTTTCGTTTTTCGTTGATCGTGTTAGTTGTTGTCCTGTTATTCCTGCAGTAAAATAAGGAACCTTGTTTAAATAATACTGACTTTGTTGTTTTTTAACCATTACCCCACTAGATTCTTTCTAGAATCACCGCCCCCGCATTTTTGGGGGGGGGGGCAAAAACATGAACACCTACTGTTTTCAAATTGTTCTAACTTTCTTTGCATTGATTTTATTTTTTGTATACTAATAAAAGAATTTGTGTATTTGCAAATTTAAATGCCCATTAAGGAATTGTATCCCTGATCAATCAAAATTAGTAATTAATTATATAGGCCACACTACAACATGTTTGACAAGCAGACTCACTCTACACCTTTCTGACCATAGCTCAATTAGATCTCACTTAAATATTCAGGGAGACCTACCGGACACTTTTTGTAACATACTTGTTGACAACACAAATATAATAGCATCATCTACATGCAAAAAAGGCTAAAAATAACGGAAGTCGTATTAATAAAAGCAAAAAAAACAACACTTAATAATATTAACTTTGAATATGGACATAATATCTTGACCGTGTTTGGAAACAAAAAAAAAATGAAAACATTTTATAAAAGATACATACAACAAACTATTTCTTCTTTAACAGTTAAAATATTTCATCCTTGAAAATGGCTAAATGTATAGCCGAAAGCGCTCGGATAAAAAGAACATTCAGACAGTTTTTATATAATTTATCATCCGAAAAGAAAAAAATTATTAGATCGCAGGAGAAATTGTATAAAAAGCTCAATAAAAGCACCTTGTCTTTTGTATTCAATGAAATGTGCATAATAAAAGAATGGATATTTAATATTTTGGTGTAATGCATTACGTTTTGTATGCATGTTTTGAGGTTTTTTCCATTCAGGGCTTCGCCTGCTCGTCCTGGTGGGTTGACAGGTGATACTTGGGATGAATTCTCTGCGATTCCAAGCATGACCATTAATATTGACCAGCATCCCAGATATAAACCATTTCTGATTTTATTCCTACTTGATCTGTAAAAATCCCTCATACACGTCTTTAATTACTGTTACATTAGGGCAGGTCGACCCCCCCCCCTTTTTTTTTTTTTAAGAAAATCAACATTGCACTCATTATGGAAGCTGGGGTTTAACATAATAAGTACTGACACCAAAAATTAGATTCATAGCTTTCACCAATTTTTGAGCGTCGAGCTTCAAAGATAGTCTTAAAAAATGTACAGAATTACCCAATTTCATCAGGCTCTTGCATACAAACTGACATAAAAATTTTACTATTTCAGGAATAAATCCAAATAAAGTTGATAGTCTTTGTATTAGATACAATGAATGGAAAATATATATTCAAATATATTCAAACCATATATTGTTACCTGTAGAACAACATTTCCGCCTAGAAAAACACGATTTTAAAACCCATGCCAAATTCACTATAATTGAGAGAATAGAAAAGTCCAGAGCAGATAACATTAGAAAGATTTTAGAGTTCCATGAAAATAAGTGGATACAATGTTTAAAAATGCACTATCCAGCCGGGCTAAACCATAAATTTAACACTATAGATAGTACTAATATATAACTCAACAAATCAAAACCTACCCACATTTCTCACCCACACAAGACAGACATGCTTACGGAGGTGTGGAGGCCTCACACTTATACACACACTCACACAAATATACACACATACACATCATACTCACCACTCTAATAAGCCAAATGATAACACACACCCACAGCAATACACATCTAACATATCATACTCACTTACTCCCTAAAGAACCAAATAACACACACACAAACACTAAACAGAGACATATCCCTTTCCAGGAACCAATAAAACTGTCAAACTGACCAAGGGAATTCAGAGAAGCATAGATCCATCCAGCTCTTATCTCAAATAACAACTTAAAAGAGACTGTTTGACCAACACAAAGACTGACCAAAATTCATATTAAAAAAATAAAAAATAAAAAAACAAATAAAAGCTACAGACAAAAGTTCATTTTCTCCATCAAGACATTCATTTCTGTAGTTCACTGCTACCAGCAAGCAGAAAATTATTATATATGTGTGTGTGTGTGTGTGTGTGTGTGTGTGTGTAACCAGAATTCTAATTATGAACCTCCACAAATATATATCATATCATCCCATAAGTTCTGTCCGAATTTTAAATAAAGAAAACAAGTGACCAAATGTTACATTTAATTACAGATTCAATCAACAATGTATTTTCCCTGATTATCTATGACTTCCTTCCATCTATTAACAAAAATTACTAATTCCATTACTGTAAAATTCTTTTGGCTTTGATTCAAGAACTCACAAATATCAGTTTTAACCTCTTCCTGTGTTACAAAAGCTGTTTCTTCCAAATGATTCTGTAAGCTCTGAAACAAATGGTAGTGTGAAGGAGCAAGATCAGGAGAATAAAGGTGGATGAGGAATTTTCTCCCAACCAAGTTCTTGATCTTTTGTGACGTGATTCTTGCTGTGTGGTCATGCATTGTCCTGATGAAACATCAGCTCTTTTTGATTGATTCACTAGGGCAGGTCTTTTTTTCCTCAAAGCTTGGTTCAAACGCTCTAATTACTGACAGTATATTTGAGCATTAATTGTTGCATTAGGTGGTAAGAATTCAAAGTGGATTATTCCTTGGCGGTCCCACAGATTGAAAGAAGAACCTTTTGCCCATGAAGTTCCCTTCTCAGCTGTGGCTGGGGTCCTTCCCCCTTACCAAGCCACTGTATATGACGCTTAACATTTCAATAAAAGATCCATTTTTCATCGCCAGTCACAAGTCTATCCAAAAAGGTGAAACAAGTTGGCGAGAATGGAGAAAGAGCAGATGTCAACTTGGGATTTGAGGTTGTTTTCAAACAATTCATAGGCACACATTTTTCCAAGTTTAGGAACTTTTCCAAGTTGTTGAAGATGACGATGAACAGTTGTATGGTTTGAACTGAGAACCACTGCCAATTCCTCAACTGATAAAGCAGGATTTTTTTCAAGGGCTGCTTCAAGAAGCTTTTCATCAAACTTAACTGGACATCGGTTCGATCTTCATCTTCAAGGGTGAAATCTCCCCCTCTGAATTTTTGCAAACCATCTTCTGCAAGTTCTTTCATTCCGCATTCCTCTCCATAAACTGAGTGAATGTTTCTAGCCGCCTGGCTGCTGAGTTTCCTTTCTTGAATTCATAAAGCATTATGTGCCTCAAATGATTCTTGGGTACTTCCATGTTAGCAGGGTTTTAATCAAACAAAATCTAATTTTATAAAATTTGATCAGTTTAAATGCATCTAAACATAAAAATAATGTTCAGCTCCATTAGACATTATAAAATTCTCTTTAAATTTCGTTCATTTTAGCAAAAAGTTAAAATTCGGACATAACATGGGATGACCTGATACAACTTATTTATTGTATTTGGTCAGTGAAAACTATGTAAAAAAAAAAATTGTAAAAGATTACAAAAATGGCTACTCAATGAATGTGATTTGTTAGATTATAATTAATCTTTAACCCACTTTCTAGAGTTGTCTCCCCTGCCACATTCTTTTTGAGTGCACAAAAAACATGAACACCTACTGTTTTAAAATTGTTATAACTTTCTTTGTATTGTGTGTATAGATTTTCTTTTTTTTGTATACTAATAAAAGAATGAATGACTAATATTTTCATGTAATGCTTTTATTTTGATGTTGAAAACAAAAAAAAAAAAAAAAAAAATAAAAAAAACAAACAAATACATTAACAATTTAACATACTTTAACTTTTATTAATCCTTGTGGAGTTCTGGGTGTGCGCTAAGAATCAAAATGGCTAAGTCGGCTTTCATTTTGTCAAAAAAGTGATGTGCTTCATCGTGTTTACATCTGAGAAGACATTTGTTTGGTCTTTCCTTCACCTGACTAGCATATGTATTTGTCTCATTGACAAATAAAGTTATTGTTTTGTCGTTTATAAATAGACAAAATAATTCACCTTCAGATAGGCTATCAAGTACATCCATGGGACAAGTAGTTTCCTCAAAGTTAGTCAGCCATGGATGATAGCAGCCACTAGTGGTCATCATCAATTTCCTCCACATCCCTGGTGTGTATCTTCGACCACTTCACTGTCAATATCCACTTGAGTAAAGCCTTCAAGATCACCATCGGAATCAAAAGCAAAACTCCTGAATAAAGGCTTCGTTGGATGTTGATGTGGCCATTTTTGTTTATACAAAAAAAATTGTGAAAATACTGACGCGGGTTTAATTGATGTTACACCTTATGTAGAATCTAGAAGATTTCAAAATGGGATTGAAAGTTTAACATCGTTCCAAAGCAGTAGCGGGCGATTTCCAGCTTAAAATACCAGAAATAACAGTTGAAGATAGACGCGTTTTAGTGAAACGTGAAAAGCTGTCACTTTCAAATCTTTTCAATTGTATCCCCTTACTTCTTCAAACAATGCCCAGCCTTCATATTTATGATTGTTATGGCAATATTTCTTGAAAGTTGTTAAGCTCAAATATTTAACAATGTGATAGGGAATTTCCGTCGATATTTTATTGTCGTAGATACCATCATGTGCTTATTCCATTATTAACTGAAGAATTAAGAGCCATGAGAATATTAAAACAGTAGTTCTTGAAATATTCAAATCCACCTGACTGTTAATTTACGATTATACATTCACAAAAAAAAAAAAAAATTATACAATGATTTTTTTTTTTTTACTTACCTTGATGGAGATATGACTTCGTGGTCTTTCAAACTTCAACTGGCAGGTCATGAAGTCATCGGATGCCGACTGACCCTTCACCGTAAACAGATAACCTTCGACATTCTCAAACACCTCCATTATGGAGATATTGGCTTGCACACAAATCTCACACAAGCCAGTCCCGAGTGAACAGACAAATTCTAAAAAACAGTTGTCGCTGCTGCCCGGAGAGTTCTCCAAACATAGCTCGTCCGTGTGGCCAAGGGAAACCTCACTTTTTTTGTGCCTGCAGAGAAGATAAAGGTTTTATTCAGAATTAATCTAAAAGCTTAAATTTTGTCGGCTTGACATCTAAAAGAAAAAAAAAATTTGTACCACAGGGATATTTACCCATTGTTATTATTACTCACCCTGAGCACCACCCGGCCCAGGGATTGAACTTGCAGTGATCCATAAATAAGAAGCAGGAGTTGTGTCCCCTATCTTTTTAGATAGTTCATGCCAAGTTTTAGTCATTCACGTTTCAACACGTTAGAATGTGTCAAATTTATTGACAGACTAGCAGCATGGCCCAGCATTGCCCGTGCTTGATTCAAAAATCGTATGACTCATACAGCAATCGCTATCACTTGACTTAAAATATTTTGCCATTCCTTGCCTTTAAAGGAGTGCCCTTTGCTGTGCTGATGTTGCTACATGCCTTACTTCTTGCCTATCTCACACCTGCAGTTTTTTCTAAAGCTCTATACTAAACATTAAATCTGTTACGAAAAAAGAACTAAACAAAATGAACACAAAACGATCAGCTTTAAAAAAAAACTGTAACTGGAAAAAAACCGAATGAAAAAGAATGTTAACAACAAATACTTTTTCACACCCAACCCAGTTCTGCGGAATCAGAATCAATGTTGAGTTTAAGCAAGCAAATGAGCCAATTGGAGTAAAGTGCCATGCAGATTTAAATTTTCCCCACTTGTGATGAATGCAGCTATCAATTTTTTTTGCATGCTAGTTAACATTCGTGTCAGTCATCTGTTGGCTCTCATGCTGGCCAATAGAATCTCCCTGCCTATTCGTGGCAGCCAGGTATAGGCTCTCACTCTGGCCAGTACAAAATGGCCTCAAACTACATGAAAACTGCCGTAGAAGCATGAAAAAATCGATTATTTCCACTATCGATGGGAGTTGGGAAATGCAAAGTCGGTCTTGGCCTTCCCGCTAACTTGGAGCATGTGCATGTAAATTTTGGTGCAAATCTGTTGAAAATTGCTGCCGTGCATTCGTTACACACACACATACACATATCCTGCCTTTTATAGATGGAGATTTTCGAATTTTACTTTTCGAGTTAGAGCACCCTTCAAATTATCTTGGGAAAGAAAGTTTAAAATAACTTAATTTGTGTCAATTTTGCATCCCTATGAAAATGGAAGATTATAAGGTCCATTTTATACACTTGATGTTTTTTTTGTTTTTTTTTACTGTAAAGGTAAAAATGCCTTGCAAGCAACAAAAAAAAGATACGTGATATGTATGACGAAAGCGCTTTAGCAAACCACTTCTGTACAATTCTGTCAGCTAAGTTTAGAGTCGATGATTTTAGCCTAATTGACAGCGGACCCTCACTACAGATGACTGCCAAATCAAGACATTGATTGAGAATGACCTGCATTACATAATGTGGGAATTAGCAGAAATAATAAATTTTATCAAAATCCACCTTCCATGAGCACTTAGTGAAGCTAGGGTACGCAACTGGGTACCACATGATCTGAGTGAAAAGAGTCTTTCGAATCGCATTTCATTTGTGATTTGCTGTATAAACGCAAAGAAAACGCACCTTTTTTGAAGCAAATTGTGACAGGTGATGAGAAGTGGATTGTTTACAACAATGTTCAGTGAAAAAGACTGAAGAGTAAACGACATGAGCCAACTTTAGTCAACTCAAAAGCAGGTCTTCATCCTAAGAAAATCATGCTGCGCATCTGGTGGGATCGGAAAGGAACCCTGTACTATGGACTTCTGACAAGTAACCAGTCAATTTGTTTTAAAAAGTACGACTCGCAACTGGACGAAGTAAAAAGGCAGCGATTCAAGAAAAACATCCAGAATTGGTGAACAAGAAAGGTTGTTTTCCATCGGGATAGTACAAGACCTCACGTTTCTTTGGCAACCTGGAAAAAATTGTTACAGCTTGACTGGGACATGTTACCCCACCAGACATTGTTCCTTTGGATATTCATTTATTCAGGTCCTTGCAAAATAATCTTAATGGTAAAAATTTTAATTCTTTGAATGACATTAAAAAAAAAAAAAACACCCTAATGAATTCTTTGCTGAGAAACCACTGAAATTCTGGGAAGATAGGATCTTTGAAGTTGAAAGAAAAATGGAGAAAGGTTGTGCAACAAAATGGTTCCTATTTAGCTGAATAAATATTTAATGGGATAATTTTAATTTTTCTGTTTTAATTTCCCTTAAAAATTACCAGGAACTTTCCAGACAACCCAATAGAATTCTCATCGTGCAATAGAAAGACATTTTTGGCACGGAAATACAAAGTATTTCTTTCTCTGGGTACCAAATGTTGGTGCAGAAAGATGCATTTTCTTAAACGAGCACACAAGAAAGATGTCTCTCCATACAGATAAATCTAAAACTATTCTTTTCTTTGCATTAATAAATAAAAAAAAAACAACAAATATTCATTTAAAAAATTTAAAAACTTCTTGAATATTACTCGCTTACCTTTTTCCAGACTTTAAATTATGACACTTTGTGTCCTCCATGTTTTGAATGGCTTTTCAACTACCTGGTGAACATTCATGAACGTTCTCAAATTTAAAAGCCTTGATAAACCAATGACATCCTTGCTTTTGTATATAAACATGTGCAACAAAATAAATTCTACATTGCGTTGATGAAGTCACTCGGTGGTTGAAATGCACTGGCTAAGAATTGTTATTCATTTTGTTTCTTTACAGATACACTATCTAAAAACAATTTATACACACACATACATACATACATACATACACACATATATATATATATATATATATATATATATATATATATATATATATATATATATATTGTGTATATTTAAGCAGCAATTTTTCATTGATGCATGTTTCATTAAATAATATAGACAAGTTTTGTCTATTTATTTTAAGTAAGTTCTTTTCATATTGTCTGATAAGCTTAATAACATTATCATTGAAATTTTTCCTGCAACAAAAACAGGCTATCATTATTGTTTCACCTGTGTATTGTTTGATATACTGAAATGTAATTGTCATCTTTGATAATGGCTTATGTAAGCCGAAAGCTTAGATTGGATTTAAGCATGTATCAATATGGTGATTTCCTTTCATCTTTCAATGATAATGTTATTAAGCTTATCAGACAATATGAAAGGAACTTACTTAAAATAAATAGACAAAACTTGTCTATATTATTTAATGAAACATGCAGTGGCCTATATAATTATTTACGAATTTTAATTGATCAGGAATACAATTTCTTAATGTGCATTTAAATTCGTAAATAATATTTGCCCTATTTAATTTTGTTCTAGGAAGTGAATTATTATTTTTAACTATCTATAGTTCAATATTTACCCACAAATAACACAAATTCTGTTGATTTTATGATCATAGTCGTTTTGTGAATATTAATCAGCATTCAAAGAGGCTTCTAAAGATATACAACCTGACCATATTGGGTGATTTGAAAAGTATAGTGGCAAATACCAAAATCTGCCATTTTGAATTTGGACTAACTCAGGCCACAGTCAAAAGTCCACCATCAAATTTTGTACATATCTTGCCATAAAGCAGGTAAATTTGTTGCCAAAATTTAAAAAAAAATATTAAAGATACAGTCAAAGGTTAAGGCCAAATTATCTTAGTTGACCTTTGAACAAAAAAAAAATAAATTGATCACCTTTTAGATCTATCCAAGTACTTTAAAATAGTATCTAATTTAGCTTTGTAGGTGAAAAAAAAACAACTGAAATATTTATTACTTGCATTATTCAAACCGTTATCCTCATCTTCATTGCCATATTCACAATGTTTTGGCTGTTGTACACTCTGGCCTTCTTCAGGTGATTGGAATTTCAAACCGAAACCATTATTTCATCCACCGGAGTTGAATGTTCTAGTTCCACATGCCATGAAGAAGGCCGGAGTGTACAACGGCCGAAACATCGTGAACATGGCAATGAAGATGAGAATAACAGTCCGAGTAATGTAAATAATGCAAATAATCATAATACCCTATCTCAGAGATTTAGACAGATATCAAGATACTGATATTTAAACTTTTTGACTATTTTCCAAAATTCACCCCTTTTGGCAAAGGTCATATCTTGGGGACCCTTTGACCTAGAGATGTAAAACAGGTAACGTTCAATTTCTATCATGAAGCTCTATAAGTTTACCAGATTTGAAGGAAATCTGTATCAGGGGTGGTCAGACCCTTGCTGATCTGACACAGAATGATACGGTATTTATTACACATCTCATGGAGGAAGCATAAAAGTTACTACTTTACTTTTTTTTTTTTTTTTTCATAAGTCTGTCATAACTACTGCATTTCTTTCACAGCCATCTCAATCAAAACGATTTTTTTTATATCTAGCCGTCTATCTATTCATCTGTCAATAAAAGTGGCTGAAGCAACATATGCTTTTTGTTTTTTTTTCTTTCCTTTCTAGCAAAGATAATCAAGGCCACGTCAAACTGACTGTAATTGGTGTCTGCAGACATTTTATGAAAAAAAAAAAACAAGGTTAATCCTATACTGGGATCCACAACAACTGACACTCAGGTGAGATAATAACTCATCACCTGCAAGCCAATCTACTTACCTGGCTACTAATTTACCTAACCTGTTCAATATGGTAGATGCATACGTCTCTCGACTCAAACTTCTGTTGTCAACATCAGTACTCTAAAATCCAAAATGATGTACAGGGTGCGATGGGTAAATGGTCGCCACTACATATTTTTAATTTCGCACGTGTGTGTTGGTTGCTTTTTGATTTTGTCGACTGCACAGTATATTAGGGCCAGTTGGGCACCGTCTTTGAGAAAAAAAAAAGAAAAAAAACCGCCATGATGCAATTCGCTCTTCCAAAAAGTTTGAAAACGGTATGATGCACTGCTTGGCATTCACATGCTGGAAGCTCCAATACGAACATTTCAGGGTGTTTGGGTGTCTATCTGAGGACAGTGCAGACGATTTGGAAACAGTTGGAGGAGTCTAATGGTGATTACGAAGGTATGGCAGCTCGGAAAACCCGCTCTGATTATCCTGAAGAGAAAAGAACTCCTGAATATGTTAGCGAGATCCAGGCCATAATTGGAAGTGACCCCCCTCCAAGTCAATCAACTCCATATCCAGGGAGACAGCAGTGCCTGAATTTCTTAGCAGACAGACATTCAGTATTTCTCGTACAAGATGAGAAAGGACCAATTTTTATTCCGAGCCATGAAGGACAAGAAGAAAGGTCACGCTACAAAGCTTTTAAACGTAATCAAACATCCCCTCCAACTGAACATGCTTAGGTTTTTCTCAGATGAGAAAAATTTCTGCCAGGAAAGGATGGTGAACACATCCAGTCGACATTATGGTGTTTGGAGTGATCACTAGTTACGGCGCCATTATGCTTTCATTCATCTTCCCACAGGGCCTCAGACTCAACACAGAGACCTACATTATGCTTTCATTCATCTTCCCACAGGGCCTCAGACTCAACACGGAGACCTACATCAAGTGCCTTGAGGAGGTAATGCTGCCCTGGGTCAGGACGGTGGCTGCTTGAAGACCCTATGTCTGGCAACAGGTCTCTGCACCAAGCAGGAGAACCCAGTCATGCTGTCAGACAATTTCTGTGACCACATTATCCCTTACATCTGGCCACCTAACTCTGCGGGCTGAAATCCTCTTGATTATTATGTATGGGTCAAAATCGAGTGACAGATCAACAAAACTCCTTGTAACACCAAAGATGAACTGAAGACAAGGATTATGGCGGCATTCATCAACTTAAACAAGGAGACCGTCCAGAAGAGATGCAGGAGTTTCTAAAGTCATCTGGAGCCAATGGCGATTTTATTGAATAAATTTACTCTTTAGTATTTTTAAGTATTATTGTGTTATCTGGGTAAATATATATCTGTTAAAATAAGATGTCAGTGTTATTTTCATTTTTGCATAATTAAGACAACAATTTATCCATCACAACCTGTACACAGTTTGACTTTGTGAAAAAAGATTTGGAAAGGAATGCCGTGATATATATATATATATATATATATATATATATATATATATATATACTAGCAGCATGGCCCGGTGTTGCCTGTGCTTGATTCAAAAATTGTATGACTCATACAGCAATCGCTATCACTTGACTTAAAATATTTTTGCCCTTCTTTGCCTTTAAAGGAGTGCCTTTGCCGTGCTGATGTTGCTACATGCCTTACTTCTTGCTTATCTCACACTGCGATTTTTTTCTTAAGCTCTATACTAAACATTAAATCTGTTATGAAAAAAGAACTAAACAAAATGAACACAAAACGATCAGCTTTAAAAAAAGGACTCGTAACTGGAAAAACCAAATGAAAAAAGAATGTTAACAACAAATACTTTTTCACACCCAACCCAGTTCTGCGGAATCAGAATCAACGTTGAGTTTAAGCAAGCGAATGAGCCAATTGGAGTAAAGTGCCATGCAGATTTAAATTTTTCCCACTTGTGACGAATGCCGTTATTGATTTTTTTTGCATGCTAGTTAACATTCATGTCAGTCAGCTGTTGGCTCTCACGCTGGCCAATAGAATCTTCTTGCCTATTCGTGGCAGCCAGCTATTGGCTCTCAATCTGGCCAGTACAAAATGGCTGCAAACTACATGAAAACTGCCTTAGAAGCATGAAAAAGATCGATTATTTCCACTATCGATGGGAGTGGGGAAATGTAAAGTCAGTCTTGGAGCATGTGCATGTAAATTTTGGTGCAAATCTGTTGAAAAATGCTGCCGTGCATTCGTTAAACACACACACATCCTGCCTTTATATATATATATATATATATATATATTGATACATGTTTCATTAAATAATATAGACACTACTGGGGTCTACTTTGAGCAATAAGAATGTATAATTACTCTCTAATCTTAACGGAAGTATCCTGATGAAATGGATCGTAAACGAAAATGACATTATATATATATATATATATATATTATGTATATTTAGGCAGCAATTTTTCATTGATGCATGTTTCACTAAATAATATAGACAAGTTGTGTCTTTTGATTTTAAGTAAGTTCCTTTCCTATTGTCTGATAAGCTTAATAACAATATCATTGAAAGACGAAAGGAAATCACCATATTGATACGTGCTTAAATCCGATCTAAGCTTTTGGCTTACATAAGCCATTATTAAAGATGACAATTACATTTCAATATATCAAACAATACATGGACGAAACAATAATGATAGCTTGTTTTTGTTGCATGAAAATTTTCAAAGCAACGACTAACTTGTGTATACGAGACGCGGAAGCGAAAATCACATCGCAGCTCGTGATGTCACACATGACCATGTGAGAATGAAAACAAGAAGTATTAGTTAGATCCAGTGACAGGACCCGAACGAGTATGAGTTCAATATGCGGTTAAGGCAGTGGAGAACTTGGAGAGAGGAATTAACAGGAAATAACTGATAACTGACATCCATTAAACATGGCACGTGGAACTAGAACAGTCTACCCCAGTGAGTGAAATAAAGGGTTCAGTTTGACATTCCAACTATCTGGAGAAGGCCAGAGTGTACAACGGCCGAAACATTGTAATAAATATGGCGACAATAGTCCAAATAATGTAAATAGTGTGCAATGTCAATCGTTATTATCTGTCTTCTTAATTCTTGTTTTTCTATTCTCCTCTCTCTTTTCTCATATTCTCTAACACCCAGTAACCCTTTGTGTCTTAGTGGCTTTATTGTCTTGCTTGAGATGAAATGATGAAAAAAAAAATTTTTTTAAATTTCTATTTTTTAAAATTGTTCTTATTTGTGCGTATTTAGGTAAGTAACTGTATGAAGTGTGCACGTAAAATAAAAAAAAAAAAAAATAAAGACAATTCTCCAAGTTAGAAGAACTTGCCCACTTCAGGGTTACTCTAATACAAATAGAAAGCAAAGATGCTCTCCCGGATCACTTTAATCTGGGACTATGTACTCACAAATATCGGTCGTCTTCTGGCCCAAGGAAAACAGAAACAATGTGTTCCATGTCCATTGTTGGCTGCCAACTGTTGGTAATAGTGACGAGTTTTTGTTCAGTCATTTTGTGAACCTGTTTGAGAGAAAAAACAAAAATGAGGGAGTCATTTCAATATGTGATATGTTTTTAAAAAAAAAAAAAAAAAAAAAAAAAAAGTAATTTTTTTTTTTTTTTTTAGCTCTTATCAAATTTACACTCGAGTCATTTCAACAATGGTCTGACCATCACCGGCATAGATTTTGTTCATATTTGGTACACTTATAGAGCTTCGTGGCATGAATTGAATGTTACCTATTTTACATCTCTAGGTCAAAGGGCTCCCTAGATATGACCTCTTGACCTTTGCCAAAAAGGTGAATTTTGGAAAATAGGCATGAAGTTTAAATATTCAATTCGTATGATGAAGCTCTGTAAGTGTACCAATTTTTTTTTTTTTTTTAAATCTGTGTCAGTGAGGGTCAGACTCTCGTTGATTTGACACAGAAGGACTCACTTGACTTTCCAAACGAGTCTTATGAAAAATGTTATCGACACTTTGGTCAAAATCCAAACATTATATTTAGCGGATAAATTCCTGTTTTATTTTTCTGTTAACAAAAAAAAACACAAGCACCAAGTATAAATCTATATCTACCAGTTTGTGCATTGCAAAGTTGCTTTCAGCGGGGTTTGAAACTGCACCCTTCTTGTATGGAGAAAACTATCATTAATCCCCACCCCCTTGCACTTTTTAGACCACTCAACCCGAAGGCGCAGTTTCTTTATTAGAACCCTTACAGTATTTACTACTGTTGAAGTTATTGCTAACATTTCTTGTCAAGATTTACGAACTCTACGTTTTCAGTTTTGCAAACCAATCGATCAAGTTTGAATAGTATGATTTGTTTGGAATAATGATTTGACAAAAACCCTACTTCATGGTTTAATAATTTTTTTAATGTTATAGGACTTCAATGGTAAACAATATTTTTAAAAAAATTTCTTTTTAACAGCGAAGAATAAATTCTTAGGATTTCTTACTCTTGAGCATGCAGCACACAACTGGCCATGCATAAATATTTCTTTCTGATGCCAAATTCCAACTTTTTGAAGTGTTTGGCCTTGTCATTCATTTATAGTTCTCACAAGGGCAGGGGAAACTGGATTCTTGTACATATAAAAACTTAAAGAAAAGACATGCAAAAAAAAAAAAAAAAAAAAAAACAATATTGCATTTTTATCAAATAAGTATGTTCTTTTAATCACTAAATTGTTTTTAAAATAGGGGGATTATTTTGTATGTTTTACAACTTTTAATTTTTCAAAAAAAAAAAAAAAAATTAATGAATATGTATTGTACACATCCTAGTAAAACCAACTGTACTTTGTACCCTGTCACCTCTTTGTGATTCTCCCCAAAATTTGGTTTTGATCGGTTGAGGTATGGCTATTTTTGAAGGTGTAATGGATGGACTAAGAGAAGTCACAAAATTTTATATATATATATATATATATATATATAAAAACATTAGGCAACATATGATTTACATACAAAAGAATAATTACATAGAATTAATCAAGTATCAATGCGATTATTGGCGACATCTATAAGCTAGAAAACATAATATATGCATTAAAATCCTGTTCATCCATAGTGCGAGTTTTGATCCTTGAAGAAAAAACTTGTTGTCTGTAGTTTTCAGTTTATTTGATGTTAAAATGCTAGTACTTTCGATCGACATACAGGTATATCGTCTCAAGTTTTTGATTTTATAAGGAAAAAAAACACATGCCTGATGATGGATGGAAGACTGTCCGTAAGTACTAGCATTTTAACATCAAATAAGCTGAAAAACTAGACAACAAGTTTTTCTTCAAGGATCAAAACTCACTATGGATGAACAGGATTTTAATGCATATATTATGTTTTTCTAGCGATGGATGTCGCAATAATCACATTGATACTTGATTAATTTATGTGATTATTATTTTGTATATATATATATATATATATATATATTAAAGAAAAACAGACCACTTTAAGGTTCCATTATAATAATTTATTTCACCAGAGCCCTTTTAAAAGATGCCGGATCATCAGATAGTACTTCCAAAAGATGAAACGAAACATTATTTCGAGAGATAGATAGATAGATAGATAGATAGATAGATAGATCCTCAGATGCATAGGCCAATAGACGTAGATTTACTCTGTTAAAAAACAAATAATCAAATTACATTATGTACATTATGAAAGCTGGAAACATTGGACTGATTAGTTGATTTTCTTTAGTAACATCAAACTCTATAGGTTATTTAATGCCGAACTGTAAATATTTTGAACGCAATTTCATGCCTTCAACTACAGATAAAAATGTATTGCTAGTCATTTTGCTTCAAAACTGCACTGTCCTTTTTACTATAAAAATGTATTTTTATACTTTCATAGTATTTTGTTTTCATTTGGGGGGGGTGTCACTATTTGCCCATAGCTGGGACCCTAACAGGTGCTACCACCCAGAGTCAGACTGGACCTGGGATCTACAGCAATCAAAACCATGGAATAAATCACTTCATTATCTTTCATGATGTTTCAGTGTTAACAAATGAAAAGGATGTGTGGAGAGCCATGATTGGCAACGTTTAGAAGAAATATGGCATCAAAAAAGAAAAATGTTTGCATCAAGCCCTGACTACTGATGATCTGTTTATTTAAAATTTTTGATATATTTCTGTTGTAAAATCATTTACAATACCTTTATATTGTACATATAATAGCTCTGCCTGTGAATAATACTTGCTTTTATTTTGGAGAGAGAGAGAGATAAAAAAAAATGGGAGGAAAAAATTGTTTGAATAGTTTAACCCATTACTGACTTAACAGGGCTGGATTAAGAGAGTGTGGGGCCTATGGACAAGGACAGTCTATACTGTGGCGGACTTCCACCACATTTATTTAATTTTGACTAGCAGTAGAGGCCGGCGTTGCCCGGGGATGTAACAGTAAGAGATAGATCAAGTATCAACCATCATAAAGACTGAAAAATAAAATTGACAAAGATTATTATTTAAGGTTGACGGACACGCATGTCTTAATTAGTTTTTTTTTGTTTTTGTTTTTACGAATTGGTCAAACCCAAACTCAAACAAAAACATTGTTTTCAATCATTATGAGTCTACCGATTGAATAGAATTTTATTATAACAATTGTATTCTGAATGTAAAATGGTTCTGACAGCGCTAAAAATTGGAAAAACACAATTGTTTTTGCACGAAATCAATATGAAAACACGATTAAGAGGCATCACGAGAATAAAAGGGGTATAACTCATATCGAGTTATACTTATTATAAAACCCAGGTTGTTTGTGTGTGTGTGTGTGTTCGTTTATATATGGGATCGGATTTCCTACATTTTTCAACCGATTTCAACAAAACTTCACTTTTTTTTGGGCAGGTAGTGTTTCTTATTGTCTTGCACACTTTTTTCTTTATTTTTACATTCAGAATGCTTTAAAAATTAAACAATAATCTTTGTCAATTTTATTTTTCAGTCTTGATACTTGATCTATCTCTTCCCCGGGCAACACCGAGCTCTACTGCTAGTCCCAAATAAAAAATTAATAGTTTCGTTAAGTGTGTGCATAGAATTTTGCATTTCCATCGCCATCAATCGTCTTTAAGATTTTCTTAGATAGAATTTAAAAGAAAAATAAACTTTTAAAAAAGTTTATTTTTCTCTTAAATTTAAAATTTTGGTCGTACTTTGACTAATTATTATACAATTAATTAAAAAAAGAACCGAAAAAAATGTTTATGAAATAAAAATAAAATAAAAAAAAATGAAATAAAAATAAAAGAAAAAAAAAGAAAAAACATTGTCACAATTCTTTCATCTACAATTGCGATATGAGATCTGATAAAATATTTATAAAATCTTGAAGCGTAATTGAACTTGTTATGGTTGCAACTCGATGAAAAATTAATGACAGAAAAATAATTAACAAAATATATTTTCCTGACAGAAAGTAAATTTTTATTTTTACATCATTCAAAAAAAAAAAAATAAATTATTTATAAATCGTTCTTTCCTTTTGTTTGTTTATTCATTGATTGATCGAAATGTTAAAAAAAAAGAAACGATATATATGAAAGAGAAAGTTAAAATACAAACCTTCGATTGCGATCCTACTAGAAAATATTATATCCACCGAAAGCTGAGACTTTGGAGATTTCTTCCTTGCCCTGAACAAGGCACGACACCTTTCAGAAATTAAAGAATATCAAGAGAAACTGTTTAGATCCGTGGAAAACCTTAATACTGGGTGACATCGGTCGCCATTGTAGAGCTCTTTCGAGTTTAAAGGCAAAAATGTGAGATCGACTTCCGGTTTTAGAGACTCGCCATCTTACAGTGTGGTCCGAAAGTCTTGTCATCTCCTAACTCTCTTCCAAACTATAGAAGCTCGCGTCAGTCATCTGAAATAGATTACATATTTAGATTAATATAGATTAGTACGTATGGAGTGACAAGACTTTCGGACCAGCCTAAGTGAAAAGGTGGTTTTGTTTTTGCGCCTATCCTGACAAGCAGGGAGGGCCTACCTGTTATTTTGAAACTCAGCATTTGAAACACAACTTAACACAAGAATTTTATCCCGGGTTAAAAACACCGACGTTTGGAATTATTATCGGTCCGCATAAAATAACAAAAGAAAGCAGTTTTAAAAAAAGGAAATTGTATTGTGCGATAAGTGGGGAGATTCTGCATGTCTTGAAAAATGGCGATGTTGATAGGAATCCAAGTAAAAAGAAAGAAAAAAATAGTCACAAGTAAAAAAAAAAAAAAAAGAAAGAGTCAAAAGTTAAAAAAAAAAAAAGAAATAGTCACGGGTTAAAAAAAAAAGAAAGAAAGAAAGAAATACACAGGTAAAAAAGAAAGAAAGAAAGAAAGAAAGAAAGAAAGAAAGAAAGAAAGAAATAGTCACGGTTAAAAAAAAAAGAAAGAAAGAAATAGTCACAGGTAAAAAAAAGAAAGAAAGAAAGAAAGAAAGAAAGAAAGAAAGAAAGAAATAGTCACAGGTAGAAAGAAAGAAAGAAAGAAAGAAAGAAAGAAAAAAGAAATAGTCAGGTAAAAAAGAAAGAAAGACAGAAATAGTCACAGGTGAAAGAAAGAAAGAAAGAAAGAAAGAAAGAAAGAAAGAAAGAAAGAAAGAAAAATAGTCACAGGTAAAAAAAAAGAAAGAAAGAGTCATAGGTTAAAAAAAAGACAGAAATAGTCACAGATAAAAAGAAAGAAAGAAAGAAAGAAAGAAAGAAAGAAAGAAAGAAAGAAAGAAATAGTCACAGGTAAAAAAAAAAAAGAAAGAAAGAGTCATAGGTTAAAAAAAAGAAAGAAATAGTCACAGATAAAAAAAAGAAAGAAAGAAAGAGTCATAGGTTAAAAAAAGAAAGAAATAGTCACAGGTAAAAGAAAGAAAGAAAGAAAGAAAGAAAGAAAGAAAGAAATAGGTAAAAAAGAAAGAAAGACGGAAATAGTCACAGGTGAAAGAAAGAAAGAAAGAAAGAAAGAAAGAAAGAAATAGTCACAGGTAAAAAAAAAAGAAAGAAAGAGTCATAGGTTAAAAAAAAGAAAGAAATAGTCACAGATAAAAAAAGAAAGAAATAGTCACAGATAAAAGAAAGAAAGAAAGAAAGAAAGAAAGAAAGTAAGTAAGTGTATAGAGTCATAGGTTAAAAAAAAGAAAGAGTCATAGGTTAAAAAAAGAAAGAAATAGTCACAGGAAAAAAAAGAAAGAAAAAAGAAATAGTCACAGGTAAAAGAAAGAAAGAAAGAAAGAAAGAAAGAAAGAAAGAAAGAAAGAAAGAAATAGTCACAGGTATATAAAAAAACAAATAGGACAATGTTAACACTATTTCTGCGTCTTTTTTTTCTTTTTTTTTTTAAAGAAAAAAGAAAGAAAAAGTATTTTATGTTAATTCACCCCAAATACTGTAAAAAAAAGTTACTTATCGCAAATTAACCCTTATTCTGGTGGTGATTTTGTTTGCAAAGCAATTTTGTTATCCTGCCATAGCAAGTGATTCAGCTGAATGAATGACAGCATGTTTGAATTTTGCAGTTGTGTTGTCATATCCTGCTATGGCAACAGAAAATGACGTTAAGTAAGGCAGTAGAGGAGTCTTAGAAAACAATGCAATAGAAAAGAAAGTAGTAAATAATGCTGTGTGTTAACGATTAATTCACCCCAAGAAATTTTAAATGAATGTTTGTTTTTATTAAATTTTTGGCACTCTTTTGAAATTATAAATTTTAAATCAAAATTTGTTTAGCTTGCCTCGCAGCAACTTTAACGTTCAGCATGGAAAATTAACAAAAATCAGGGAGTTATTCACATTTCGCAACTGCAAATGATAATTCGAGGTACTTACGAGGAATTTTTTACAATTTAAAAAAGGAAAAAAAAAGGCTTATTTATCGTCGGGGCGAGTGCAAATGCGAACCCCACATTTAAAAACAGAGCAACCCAGCCAGAATGCAATGGAAGGGCCTTGGTCTGGGAGAATTTGATGCGAATTTTAGTAAATACAAATTCTTTTTTATTTGTTACTAGCAGTAGAGCCCGGCGTTGCCCGGGGATGTAACAGTAAGAGATAGATCAAGTATCGACCATCATAAAGACTGAAAAAAAAAATTGACAAAGATTATTGTTTAAGGTTGACAGACACGCATGTCTTAATTAGTTTTATTTTATTTTATTTTATTTTTTTACGAATTGGTCAAACTCAAACAAAAACATTGTTTTCAATCGTTATGAGTCTAACGATTGAATAGAATTTTATTATAAACAATTGTCATGTAAATGGAATTTTTAAAGCATTCTGAATGGAAAAATAAAGAAAAAAGTGTGCAAGACAATAAGAAACACTACATGCCAAAAAAAAGTGAAGTTTTGTTGAAATCGGTTGAAAAATGTAGGAAATCCCATATATAAACGAACACGCACACACAGACGCAAACAACCAACCTGGGTTTTATAATAAGTATAACTCAATATTAATAAGTATAACTTGATATGAGTTGTCCCCCTTTCATTAATGCCTCTTAATTGTGTTTTCAAATTGATTTCGTGCAAAAACAATTGTGTTTTTCCAATTTTTGGCGCTGTCAGAACCACCGCAAGGTAATTTTACGCAGTCCTGTGAAGTTTTGTTGAAATCGGTTGAAAAATGTAGGAAATCCGATCCAATATATAAACGTACAGACACACACACACACACACACACACACACACACACACACACAAACACAATCTGCGTTTTATAATAAGTAAGATTATTTAACAGAAAATATCTGAAAGGTTAACTATCGAATTCTCAATACTCGGAAATACTTATGTCGCGGACTTCTACCATATTTATTTAATTTTAATTAGGAAACCAAACTGATGTGAAAAAAGGGACAATGCAAAGGTGTCGATATATATAAAAATTGTATTCAACAATGCATACAATAAATAATGCGTACGAAAAAGCATGCAATGAGTAAGACGAGAGTTGTCTCTCTTTGACTATCAAAGTCTATTAAAGTTCTCTGAAAGAGAAGAAAGAGTTATTAGTCTGTTATGAATGTTTTTAAACAGTTCTGCCGTGCAAGAGGGAAAATTATGTAAGTGTGAAAGAATATGCAGTTTGTGAGTTGAGTGAGAAGATGGGCGTATAGCTTCAACTGTCGTGGATTTCTGTGGCAGCTAAAGTCTCACTGGTATGTCTCCTCTTTTCTTTTGCTTTTATAGGTGGTCAGTGAATCATTCTCACATGCAGAAAATCTGATTGGTCGATACTGATCCACAGTGCATGAGCTTTGGGGACACTTCTGGAAGATGATTCTCCCAAAAGTGCACAAAATCTACTATAGCGATTTTAAAATTGTTGCATAAGATAGCAGCGTTGCTTCGTGTCCAATGAATGAATGCTGTTGAAGATTTGAATTTGTAAGGGTGTATGTGTGTGTGATGATGATCGCCATAGTTAGATTTAAAGAAGAATAATTTAAGGCCTTATAAGGTGTTTTATGTCAAAAAGACACAGAATTTACTGTAAGATAACCGAATTAAGTCCTAAAAGTTTTCTTTTTTTATTATTTGCGAAATAACCCCGAATTAAGTCTGTCTCCAGAACTGACCTTGTGAGGATCATCATCATCACACACACACACATACATACATACTTATGCAAATTCAAATTATACAACCACAAGCATTCATTGGATAGCAAATCAACACTTCTGTATAATGCGACAATTTTACAATCGCAATATTTTCATGTAGTCGATTTCGTGCACTTTTGGGAGAATCGGATCCCAGAAGCTCGCTCGCTGATTGGTCAATGCCAACCAATCAAATTATCTGCACGTGAAGAGTGATTCTTCCCGCGCAGCGCTTTCAGAGCCGATGATCTCAGCTGCCACAGAAATTCACGACAGTTGAAACCATGCGCCAACCTTCTCACTCACCTCACCACTCACATGCTGAATATTCCCTACACTCACATAATATTTTCTTACACAGCAAAACTGTTGAAAACATTTATTACCAGAAACTATTACAACCTTTTTTTCTTTCAGTGAACTTTGGAACACAAATAATAGTTAAAGAGAGACAACTCTTGTTTTACTCAACGCATGCTTTTCTTTCACATCCTTGTTTGTACATCTTGTTAAATACAAATTTTATGTGTAATGATATCTTTGGCTCATCCATTTTTTCTTCACGTCAGTTTCGTTTCCTAATCTAAGTTAAATTAATGTGGTGAAGTCCGCCACAACATATAATCAAAGAAAGATCAAATTTGATTGAATATTTTAGGATTTTTTATGTTTTTTTTGTCCGTTTTTCAGTAGTAATTTATTGCAACAACAAACGACGTGATTTCGCGGGTAAAATCGATTCGTTATTTAATTCAATAATTAAATAATAAAGATTAAATTCAAATATATAACTACAGTTTAAAAAAAAAATTACAATTTAAATTGAATCAATTTATTTTTTAATGTCAATTTCGGTTTTTATTCAGAATTGGAATTAATAACATTTTTTTAACTAATTCGACAAAACATATTCAGGCTATCTCAAACCTAGATTTATTTTCAATTTTCCTTCGTGGCCAAATCCGTAAAGGCACGTCAAGCTAAATGACGGTTCCGTATAGGATACAGGTTCGAATCCTGTCGGAGGACGAATATTTTCTGTGAAAATTTCTCGGACATTCAGGCCGGTAAATGTTGTTTAATACTGTTTATTATAAACAGAGCATTTACTTAAATATTTGTATCTATAAAAAAGAATGTATAAACATAAAAATGTCTTTATATATATATATATATATATATATATATATATATATATATATATTAAATAAAAACAGACCAATTTAAGGTTCCATGTAATAAATTATTTCACCACAGCCCTTTTAAAGGACTGCGGATCATCAGACTTTACTTCCAAAGGTTGAAACGAAAAATGAAAAGAAATTTACACATTTTTGACGGGCCGTATTAAGCATATGTAAATTAACGAAGTGAGGAAGTGAGGGGGGGAGAGAAGACATGAATAAGTTAGATGTAATTTAATATTTCTATTCTTTCATACTTAAAATTACCCTAGGAGGTCCAGACATTGACACATTTAAACGGTTTAAATGTGTCAATGTCTGGACTTCCAGTGAAGACGTCTGGAGTTCCAACTCTTGTAGGGCCATCATGGCGGTAGGGTCAAGTAAGAGAAACCAGACTGAATGTGACGTGGCCAAACCCCCGAAGACCTCCATCGGCGGAATAGGCAAGCACGATCTGAACCGCCAAACCGGTAGAAGAGGGCAGTTGCCGGTCGGGCCGGCGTAACCAAGGCGGACATCGATAGACCAAGGATACGACAGCCCGTTGCGACCAGTTTTGCCAGATCGCGGCTGTCTAAATCTCCTTTGAGCCGATAGGGAGACGCTTCTGGCCAAGGGGTCTGGGTTTATCGGTCGCGTAGGGTTATCCATCAAAATCATATTCACGCGAATGACCTCGTCAAACTCTCTTTATCTACTCTTCAGAAGTAGTCTGGGACTTCAGACCCATCTCCGCCACAACCACCACCAGAGGGGTGAGAGGAGAGAGAACGTTTACTGTTTACGGAAATGCATTTGATTGGTCAAATGAATACATTAAAAAAATAAATTAGTCTTATGAAGAGGGATGGTTGGTTGA